TATGGATTTCGATATACTGTATCAGTAACGGATTAACAGGTAAAAAGGCGGATGTAAACCAACCCATACTATATACAAGAGGCCCAGAGGGCCTGTATCGCTTACCTGGATATCTAAGCAATCATGGCAAAATATTCTCCAAATGAAATCCAAGGGAATATGCCAGACCCCAAGGCCAATCCTTGTAGCATATCTGTATTAATTTTTTCATGCCCAGCAATTTTATGTATGGTTATGAGGTGGGAATCTCAACTGTTTCCAAGCTCTGACTCAGAAACTAGGTCCATAGGTTGTGGCAAGACCCCAGGATCAATTCTAATATCATGACTGTATTCGTCTTTTTTTGCCCAGCATTTGTATTTCTAGTTTTGGGGTGGGGATCTCAACCGTTTCAAAGTTATGACCCAGGGGTTAAGTCTGCAAAGGTGGGGTAGACCCTGGGATCCATTCTAATATCATGACTGCATTAGTCTCTTTATGCCCAACAATTGTAGATATAGTTTTTGGGTGGGGATCTTAACCCATTTTGAAGTTATGACCCAGGGGTTAAGTCTCCAAGGCTGGGGCAGACCCCAAGCCCATCCTGGAAGCATATGTGCATTCATTTCTTTATACTCAGCAGTTGTATATATGGTTTTTGGGTGGGGATCTCAACTGTTTCCAAGCTGTGACTAAGAAACTAGGTCCCTAGGGGTTCGGTCAGACCCGAGGGTCTATTCTAATATCATGACTGCATTCGTCTCTTTATGCCCAGCATTTGTATATACAAAAAAATGTATAGTTTTGGAGAGAGGATCTCAATCGTTTCAAAGTTATGACCAAGGGACTATGTCTCCAAGGGTGGGGCCAGACCCTAGGGCCATCCTGGAAGCAACTGTGCATTCTTCTCTTTATACTCAGCAATTGTATATATGGTTATACGGTGGGGATCTCAACCATTTCCAAGTAATAAACTTTTTTTGGGCCCACCCCTTAGCCCCGGGGATCAGCCACAAAATTTGTACAATTTTAAATCCCTACCTCCCATGGATGCTTCCGACCAAATATGGTCGATATCCATGGCACAGTTCTACAGAAGAAGTCGTTTATACATGTAGCAATATAGGCAAATTGCCCCCTTTTGGCCACGCCCCTCAGCCCCCTGGGGGGTCAGCTCCACCATTTGTACAATTTTGAATCCCACCACCTAGGGATGCTTCTAGTCAAATATGGTTGATATCAATCGCTTAGTTCCAGAGAAGAAGTCACTTAGAGCAATATAGCCAAATTGCCCCCTTTTGGCCACGCCCCTCAGCCCCCTGGGGGGGTCAGCCCTACCATTTGTAAAATGGTGAATCCCCACCACATAGGGATGCTTCCAGTCAAATATGGTTGATATCCATCCCTTAGTTCCAGAGAAGAAGTCGCTTAAAGCAACATAGCCAAATTGCCCCCTTTTTGCCCTGCCCCTCAGCCCCCTGGGGGGTCAGCCCTACCATTTGTACAATTTTGAATCCCCGCCAACTAGGGATGCTTCCAGTCAAATTTAGTCAAATTCCAATCAGTGGTTAAGAAGAAGAAGTCGTTCAAAGAAATTGTTGACGTACAGACGACGGACGACGGACGGACGACGGACGCCACGGTATCGCATAAGCTCACCTTGGTCCTTCGGACCAGGTGAGCTAATAATCAACTCATATATAAGGGTAGTTAGTTGTGGTCTCGTACAGTATAGTAGGCTTTAACATTGTCATTTTTAGCCTCATATCAGTTCAATCGGCAACGAGTTGGTACACAAGTGAAATCAATTACTTGATATTATAAAGTGGTTATATTTAAATAAAACTAGGCGGAATTCTTCACAAGGCTTTTGCATGCTAACGTGTGAAGGAGATCAGTGTTATCACGTTAATAGTAATTGCATGTGGTAATCTTGTGTATGCAAGATATACTAGGCCAGAGTTATTATGCACAATCATGATATGTTTATTAGAAAAAATCAAACATTTACATACACTAAGAAGTATAGCATGTGTGATAATTGGTGGTCAGTGTCCAAATATAACTATAATACTATGACATATGAAATGTCTATATCATTAATATCTCTCCAAAACATGTGTCATGTGACTTATTGTAAGATGAATGCTACCATAGATTTTATTGGAATGTTGTCCAATTTATTTTCTATTTGAAATGTATGCAATGATATATTCACAAAAGAAAAATAATAAACATTCACACTTTGCCTTGCATTGTCCGTGTAGAAGGACCATTTCATACAAAATATATTTTGCTAAAAACAAACATAAATATCGTAGTATCATCACACACGAACAAAAGACAGCGACAAGAAAGGAATAACAGGGTTATTCAAAACAAAAATAGATATCATTAACATGTGTAATACAAAAAGACTAATTACTAGAAATACTATATTGTCTATCAATCTCCTCCATATTAGAAGTAACCGTGTTACTGGAATTTTGTCTGGGGCGATTTATAGGAATATGACTTTTGTTTCCTGAAGTTGTAAATGTGGAACGTTATAAGGAGATTTATAGATACCCTTTCTTTTACGCTGTATTCTACATAGGTTCCGGAACACTTTAGACACGGAGGTTCCATTCTGTTGACTTTAAGTACCACTGATTAATCCTAAAAGGACATAATGCCTACATTATATGGTGCGAAACCTAGTTTTATGTATAATGTGCTTTGTTTGGCTCACTGATAGGATCATCAGTTTATTTCTGTAATTTAAGCGATATTTTAAAGCAAAAACACAAAAGCAGCCATTTTTCAATTCATAAAATACGGTTGACTACAAAAATATAAAAATAAATACAATAATTATAAACGTGTTCACAGCGTTAAGTGTAGAAGACGATAGACAATTGGTACATTGTATATAACCATGGCTGATTCATATGGAAAATATTACTCATGCTGGTGTTATGTTGAATTATACCGTCTGTTCATCAAAGAGAACAAACTCAGCTTGTAGAAAATTAAGAGTAGTACCATGCCTCTTATAAGGTCAGTCATAATGATGAAGAGCCCGACAAATCATCCATGAAAATTTCTGGTTTAGACAGTTGCCATAATAAAAACCCGTATAAAGCAAACGGAAAAATATTTTTGTCCTAATTATTTTGGCTACAGGTAATAGATTAAGAGTTATCGGGTGAGATCTTTCACTTCTAACAGTAATTGTCATAATTCTGACAATGTCGTTATAGCACACTATTGTCGAAATCACTTGTGTATAAAGCCGTGTACAGCTAGGCAGAACTGATGATGTATGATAGAAGATGTTTGATTATACAAGATAAAATGTGTCCAAATATTTGTTATGGAAATCAGCTTTTAAGTTCCCTGAGCAATTTTAAAAGTAGGATAAATAATGTAGTAAGGCCTACCAATATCCATGAGTTGTATCACTTTTGTGGTATTTTACACACTGACATTTCCACACGCATTTGCCTCCATTGTACAAAAAGCTGAGAAACTTAGTAACGATCTTTGGTGCCTTATCACTACTGAGTTTGATAAATAACTAGTTGTTTACTTCAACTCTTTGTCAGATTATAATATAATTCACATACCCCGTTGGAGGAATGCTCAATTACAAGTTATGTGAATTAGATTATGAAAACAATGTATTGCTTTGTGACATTTTTGTTGATAAAACGATGAAATTGTATCATCGCCAAGATCATAATTAACCGCACGTATATCTGAGAATGTCTTACACTAATCACATTGTGCTTAACATTTGATCATAGACGAACAATGTGTTTCTTTGGTTCATGTTATTGTTGTACATAAGTATATTTAATTATGAATTGACCATTGATTAACTTGTATATATATTCTTGTTAATCTTCAAATAGGAGGAAATAATGAAATAATGATGTTTTATTTTGGAAAACTTACACGAAAAAGGAACATTCGTAAACATGGGTTCTGGATTAAACGGGAGACATCACGATGTATGCTTCTTATATAAGGCCTAGTTTTTGTTTCTTCATTTAAAACATTTTTTAAATATTATACAGTTATACCATTATGTATATTCCAATGTATTGTTATATTGTAACGTGTGTATTGTCCATGTCATGTACATGTATGTAGTGTCTTTTCTTCACAGGGCCATATTGAACATTTGTTTGATATCTAAATGTATTACCCTGTATAAATACATAATGATACACAATTCATAGAAGAAACCCAGCTTTGTAGTTTATTGGTCAACAGGGCGCATTTATCTAGGATATCCTGCTACTTATAATGGGCTTGAAGTAGTGAATCAAGCGTCACATGTGATCTCATATAGCAGAGAAAGTTGGACTGCTACTACAGAAGTAACAAAAGTTAACGTGGGAACAAGCTCCACGTTTGTGATAGGTTAGATCTTGTTGTAAGTTAATACAAAAATGTGAGGCTGAACAAGAGGAGTTTGAGGCATGTTTAATTTAAACATCTGTGTAATAAATGCGATACATGTTATTCTCGTTATACTTATGTTTATTAAATCACAAACATATACACTAGTAATTGATTGTGCTCGGGAAAGTATCTCATTACCTTACTTTAATACCCTACACAAGAGTCCTTTCAAAATTGCAGACGCTGTCTATCTTTTCATTTTGTTTATGTAAAAAGAAAAGGATTTGCTATGAATGGTGCACAAGTAAGTTGATGGCTTGGTAAGATTTAGAAAATGAATTTATTTTCAACTAAAAATTGTTGATGTGTACATGTTCGATATCTAGCTACATATATTTAGGTAGACGATGCATTTTGTTTATCAATTGCAAGCTTAAATGTAACCATTCGGGATGTTTTGCGTGTGTTATCACGTACATCATAGCGATCATGGCTGTATATGTATCTACTAAAATATCATATTCAGAAATACCCAACGGAAGTCCATGCTTTAACTATCAATTACATATGTTACATGAATGTGTATCCAGTAGTTCATTAATTAATAAAAGAAATCAATAATAGTCAAGTTTTATAAGTTTTAATTTTCATACGCTTAGCTTTCATTTTCGGAATTAGAAAATCGTTATTCCGGCTAAAGGCAAACCCCGCTCAAAGTATTATCATTGTGGGGTTGTCGACACGATTTTCTTCATTAAATCAATGGTTCGTTGTTGCTGCTTTGGACCGAAATGATTCCTACAAAATATAAAACAATCTATATACATTGTATATATAAATACAGGTGTTGAATTTCATGCTTATTGCAATATTAAAAATTAATTTTTGAGGTGATCTGATTTTGTCCATGTTATAACGTCTGCTATTATGAAATAAGGAAATAAATCGAACACTTTGTTCGGCGGAGCATCAGATGCACGACAAAGGAAGTAACAGGATGGAACACAAACGCTGAAGAATATACAAGAAATAGGTCTAGCATGGGCATAATGTGTGTATTAAGTTTTCCTGATGTTAATTAGTGTATTAGTGTATATATAACCCCCGGAAATATTAAAACTACATTGGTATGGGCAAATGAACTGACATAATTACAACACATAACGTATGTGAACGATGTAACAGACACTGTTCGGAACTTTAATGGTACAGATGCAGTGAACTTTAGATTTAATTATTATCACGTCATAAGTTAACGCAAACCTAGCGTGATTTACAAATGATATCTTATTTATTTATTATTCTAAAGTTTTGTATCAAACTGTCACATACCAATAATTTAAGATCTGATTTAGCATATATAGATCTAGTCTTCCTTCAAATCCAGGGGCTTTTGGAATTTTTCTAAAATACGCATCATAGAACTGATCGTTGAAGCCACTGAACGCAAATCCCACGGCGAGGTCACATTCGGAATGTCCGTAGAAGGAGGCTGGATCAAATATTACTGGAAAAATATGATAAATTTACATACAGATTTTATAATTCAATACGTATTAGAGAGTTTTAATAATAAGGTTTCAGTCAGTAACAGTGTAAACAGTATACCATAGTAAACCAGGAGAGAAATGATATAGGCGTAGCCTGTCGTTCAATCCCATTCATATACCATCTGCATAAAATATGTTGAAATGAAATACTATAGTAATTCATGCAAAGAGAAAAGATGGTCGTAACGTTTTATTCCTTCAAGCAATACATTTTCCCTGTTCCATATGGACGGTTGTGTTCATAACTGAATTATGTTTTCTGCTCTGCACAAAGAGCATTGGGATCCAAACCAAAGTGATATCTGTGTGTCTATGTGTTGACTGTATGCTGTTTTTGATATTTTGTGCCATACTTACCTGGTCCACCTTTTATAGTTTCTCCCGAATTGAAGCTGTGGAGATCGCCATGCAATAAAGATGGTTTGATGTCCAGGTTCCTAAATAGGCTTGGCAAAAGTCGTAATACTTGTGTCCATAGCTCGCGCACTTTTCGGGCAAGTTCCTAGTAACAGTAAAGTAAGTATAGTTAAGACTTCATGGACGGCAAGCAAAACTGAGATGTATATAAATATAAGTGTTAAGGTGTTGCCGTCACCCCACGTAATAATCGAGTATACTGAATACTGTGATAATTCTTTTTAAAGGAATAGTCTATTATTTACTTTGCATGTTTATTAGAAGTGATAAAGAAAGTAGAAATACAAAAGTGCAAGAATTAAATTAAATGACGTTTCAGTGTCCAAAGATGGAATGAAATAAATCAATCGTTTCAAAGGGGTCCCCTTATATTCATGTGGTGGCATAAATCCCCCAACCCTGACATAGAACAATCAACGAAGCTGATATAACGATAAATATCGCCCAGTGTGGAATTTGTGTTTCCCCAAGCGACAGTTAGTAGAAATACTCGGTACATTTTTCCTCATATAAGACAACTAATGTCTACTATGGTCATATCAATTGTTTGACATCTGTATGGCGAACTCCATACAAATTCATTGATAGAGATTAAACTGAGTAATGCAATATGATGGTGACGTTATATCAATACTTTAGCGTTAGATATGTACGAACTTTCCTATCCTTGTTTATAACAATATATTCCTGTCAATGTATTGAAAACTAAATGGGCATATACCATATCAACCGCTGAAGAAGCTTGCGTTTCAACCAAACCGATCCGATATTCCAATAAACTGGAGTAGTATGTCTGAAACAGATGCAGTACATTACAATGGCTATATAAAATGTTTATTATAGAAAAAGGAAAATACAGGAAGATGACACATTTTCTTTAAAAAACATCATTTTGTATTGCATTCTAATATCATTTACTATATCGTCCTGCCAGCTTAGTTAATTTATCCTCATCGACCTTTTTATTTGTTCATTTTTCCAATTATGACATTTCAGCGAGATGGCATTATTTAAGCATACACAGGTTTCCTTTAAGCAAACTATTCGGTTGGTAACTTTTTTGTCCCCCGACTCCCTGAACTTCAAATAGTTCCGACGGTACGTCAGAGAGTGGCAGACCGTGGTAAAGGAGAAAAGCGACATGTTTTATAAATTCGGTTCTCTAATGCTATCTGTTACACTGAGGTTTATTTATCTGTTTGGCATGTCCTATCAAAATTGGACACAAATAAATATTATGGGCTCGTTTAACAAAGATTGGTTTCGGAGGTTGCCACTCTGTGTTTTCTTTGTAGTTCCAGTATTTCAACGTCACAATTGTTTTGATTGATACAATAATCCGACCAATCAACGGAAGTAGCTACCCGTCTTCAGAACATCCAAAATGGCGTTGGCAATTTCCGATGTCATAGATAAACATTACAAAGTGGAGTAAATGTCACACAGTGTTAGATCATTTTTGAAGGTGTGGTCATAGCGCGTCCTATTTTGCGCAATTTTTATCGTCCACGCTTATTATCTTTTGTTTAAAAGGTTCATTTTTAAAAAATCAAAAAATGATGACTTGAGATTCGACCAATACGCATATATATTTAATAATCCGGAATGAGTCTATGTATTCGTTAGTGTAATGAGGGATAGGCTGGAAACCAATGTGTACATCGGTTATTGGTATGTGCCCCATTGCTAACACATAGCTACTCATGCCTCATATGGTCCATTCATTATTGCTTTGAGATGGCAACAGAAGTGGTAGCAGTAGTCAAATGTGCTATAATATTGACAGCCCGAGTTTACTCTGGCCCTGACACCAGACTTGGATCATTTGAGAGATAGATGTCACGAGAGGAAACTCTGGCTATAGTATTGATTTCCTCTTACACTCTCAAAGTCTGATAAACACATGACAAACTTTCGTAACAACAAGTTTTTTTCAAAGAATTTTAAAGTATGGACTGTTTTACATACGATGGACAGATGCATGGGGTCCGAACTGACACATCAGAAGTATATTTTACGTACTTACAAAACCAAAAACCAAGATTTATTTCAACAAACTTTATTGCTAAAAGAAGCAAATGGATTTCGCATCAGGCAAAGCCTAGCCATCTCCCAACAATTCCGGTATGGTACAGTTATTAAATTATTATTAAGTATATGATTAATGAACGGTCTAAGAGGAAGGTCAACTAACGCTGATAAGACGTACATAAACAACTTGATATCTTAAGCAATAAGTATTTCAATCCATGTTGTAGTGGGTAAACGTCTTAATGCGAGTATCATCAAATCTGTCATAGAATTTCTTATACGTAAAGCTTTTTATTTACCGTCCAGTCGTCCGACCAGGAGACATGTTGCGGCACAAAGCCGACACAGGTAGTCACCTCGAAACCAAATTGATCCACGGCTGTTGGACTTTGTTCGTATGCACCTATTGTACATTCGGCCTTCTTAGCTCGTCGACGTAATCCGTCATTATGCAAATGTAACCTACAAAATAGTGAAATTTGATTGTAACCAAGCTGTCAATTAACAATGTACCTAACATATCAATAGGAGTATATTGAATGGTTGTCTGCTTAATACCATATATGTCGCCGAATATAATACACAAGATGGTATTCAAAAAGAACAAATCAAATGTTCTATTTATGACCTTACTGTTACTCCAATTACTACGTGTTGTGTTGTAAAATAACTCTTGCAAAATGGTAAATATGCTGCACCGGTCACGTTTCCGTGCTACCATTTGTCAATAAAGAACAAAAAATCGTGTTAATGCTGTTTTCAATTATATTCGATTTATTATATATTTTATAGGTTATCCTATCATATATCTTACATACAACCTAATATATGTTACATACAGTTGTGGGATCGCACAACGTTACACGATGTGTGGTGTGCGCACGATGTGTGCACGGTGTGTGAACGATGTGCGAACGATACAAATTTGGGCTATCATTTCTTGCGCACACTTGTGTGCACGATGGAGGAACGTTGTGCGATAAAAATCGTGATTGAGGAATGCCTAAACAATATATACGGTTTCGTGTTTAAACATATAAACCTTGATTTTTACGTATGTTTCTATATTCTACCTACACCTATAAACTTATCTTTATATCTATACTTTCTTAAATTTAGAAATTGTGTTTTCGGTATTTTTTAAACGACCTTTATCAACACCATTGAAATCACAACACAGTCCCGTATACAGGTAAACATATATAGCCACTAGCCGTCTACATGTACCTGGACGGTAGTTTTCCCCCGCCCGGGGCGCTTACGTATTTTGTCGGGTAGGGCCAGGGGTGTGAAAACACAGGTGAAGGGGAGCTATAGGCAAACGGCTCATTCCCCGAATACCTGTACACTTTACTGTAATAGACTATAACTCACTATCATCACAACTGACCACCTATGTAAACATGTGATTTTAAGCAGAGTTGGTATTCGGGGAAGACCCCAGGCAAACCGAATGCATATAACAAATAATAAACGTCCAGCTGTGTTTTCATTACGGTCATACGTTATCGCATATCAGCTCTATGTGTCAGGTACAGGCCAGGTCAAACCCCGGTAACTCATCAAATTTCTGTTACCTTGGCGCGAAACCCATTCTTGACAGTCTAACGGTCACTGTAATGCTGTGTTACACGCATTGTTAAACTGTACATAATCTTCATTACTGTGATGAGAAATTACAATAATACAGTTTTCATTATTGCATACGAGCTTTCCGTATTATTTTCATTCCGTAATATTGATCTACAAATTGTACCCAATCGCACAGTTGTGCTGAGAGAAGCGCACAACGGGGCGAACGATTGTTAAATCGCACAGTTGTGCGCACAATGTGTGGACGGTGTGTGAACGATGTATGCACGGTGTGCGCACGCTATTTTTGGTGCGTTGTGCGGTCACACAACTGTAAATAACTTTAGAAAATATTTTACATAGAACATTTAATTAAGGATTAACTTGAATATATTTTTCATGTTATGGAGATATAACACAAAAAAAAGAGGTGTACTCTAAATAAACCGCGAAGCGGTTTATGATGAGAGTACCCTCCGGTTTTTTTTGTGTTATAGCTCCATAACACGAAAAATATATTCAAGTTAATCCTTATAATTTAATCTACTATACATAATCCCTGTCGAAATACACTTTTATTGATGGACTCTTTTCTCTTAGAAATTATTGGGCCGCTGTATCAACCAATCAAAAGCGACGTTACAAATGGCGTTTTTACGTTAAGGGATGATAACATACATTTTTAAGCCAATGGAAATGCTTGTTACAAGCAAGATTAAATTATTACTGTATATTTATGCTATGCCATTTATGCTTTTGTCATGTAGCTTGATATGTTTTAAAGGGACAATTTAGTAAAGTATTTTTTTGTATAATCTTCATGTTAATGTTCATGATAATAAAGTTTGATTAGTCCTTATGAACAATTCATGTCGGGAAATTGACACGAGACAATGTTGTCCTGGCGTTTTTAATCTGTAATGAAAAATCCTTAACTGTACAACCGTACGTTTTAGAGGCAGCTGTCAGTGAATTTCTAACTATAACAAAAACCTCTCTGTCCACTCGAGGAGAGAATGAAATTTTCGTTTTATTCGAATACAATTACATGCATTTGACTAAACAGCCCTTTCAAAATGTATCAATGTAATTGTGATATATGACACCCAAATATATATCCTAATCATCTCTTTTTTATAAGATCTTTTGTAAGTTAGGCAAGTTATTTCATAAAACCTGTCACAACCACCACAAAACATAAACAAGAGGCCCAATGGGCCTGCATCGCTCACCTGGTATAAAACTCACACTTCTAACCTTAAAAGTGATCTAAAATAAAGCTACAGGCAAAATATCAGTATTAATGATTAAAATTCGTTCAAAAGACCCTGTTATTATTTTTTTAAACATTTCACCCCTGTGATTGAAAGTCGAACAAAGTCATTATGTTGAACACATTGTATAGCCTTTCATCTCAGGATGCAACTTGCAAAGTATAAACATCCTGGGACCCATGGTTATTCATAAGAGGTTGTTTAAAGATTTTAAACAAATTTGACCCCTGTGACCTTGAATATAAGTCAAAGTCATTCACTTTAACAAACATAGTAGTCCTGGATCCCAGCATATGCTACTAACTAAATAGCAACATCCTCAGCCTTTTGGTTATTCAGAACAAATTGTTGAAATATTTTAAACATATTTGCTCCTTGTGACCTTGAATATGATTCAAGGTCATACATTTAAACAAACTCGGTAGCCCTTGATCCTAGTATGCTACTGACTAAATATCATCACCCAGGGCATTTTGGTTATTCAGAAGAAGTTGTTTAAAGTTTTTAACATATTTGACCCCTGTGACCTTGAATATGGGAGAAGGTCATTCATTTGAACAAATTTTGTAGCCCTTCATCTTAGTATGCTACTGGCCCAATATCATCACCCTGTGCATTTTGGTGATTGAAAAGAAGTTGTTTTAAAGTTTTTAACATATTTGACCCCTGTGACCTTGAAAATAGATGAAGGTCATTTATTTGAACAAACTTGGTAGCCCTTCATCCCAGTTTGCTTCTGGCCAAATATTATCACCCTAGGCCTTTCGGTTATTAAGAAGAAGTCGTTTAAAGTAAAATATTGACGCCGGACGACGGCCGGACGGCCGGACGGACGACGGACGGACGACGGCCGCCGCACCACGGCATAAGCTCACTTGGCACTTCGTGCCAGGTGAGCTAAAAATACGGTGTTACTATTTCATACAGTGGTCGTTTACAGCAGAGACGATGATTCCGTTAATGTTATTGGCACTATATGATTTTATATCGTACTTGTCATACAAAGGGAGCCTACCGTGCTAGTTTCTCGCCCAGAACCGCCTGCTGACTCGAAAGCTCCACAATATCCAGGAACTCCATAGCCAGAACTGCACCACCAGTCGGAATGTCTACTATCTGATACCAAACACAGGTTATTATATTTAAATATTAAAAAATAAATCTGCATGTTATACATTAATCATGACAAAATATGATTGAGTATGAGTTATATTTTATCTCGTGAGTACATACTTAAGTTTAATCTTCAAGTTTCAGAGAAAAAATGGTGTTCGAGAAAGACAGACTAGAGGATGTGGATACAAATGACCATCATTTTTCACAAATCGATATATTTGGGTTTTTTTCTCTAAAGGAGGGAGCGATTGCATGATTCGCAGTTAAATGGTTAAAACAACATTGGGAGAAATGACTAAACCACAAAGAAATGCATATATATATAATTGTTCTTGGTGGTTCTTAGTTATTGTCACATTTAAATGTATATGAATCAAATGGTGCGTCACATCTTTAATATCCAGCGTCCAGCTACTGACATTTAATTAATACGCGTACAAAGGATAATAATCTATATTATATATATGCCTAGGTGCGTGCACTTTAGCTTATGATACAGCTATGACCGCCTTCACACATTGACGAAAAGGATATTCTGCCTTTTATGTTTCAAAGTAAAGACATACTGATGTATGGACCGACATGTCTTAGAAAAGCTCTTTCCTGTCATAATATTATTGTGTACGATTCCGTAATAACATCGTTATCGTTTAGTCGAAAACTGTGTGACTTACAAAGTTAACGGAATATTGTCAAAAACAGGTTTAGTTCAGTTTTAATTAAGCCTTAATAAACTACCGTTATCGGATCTGGTACTCTGACTTCGTTTGTTTGTATTAATGCTATCAACTACCTTTATTGGATCTGGTACTCTGACTTCGTTTGTTTGTTTTAATGCTATAAACTACCGTTATCGGATCTGGTACTCTGACTTCGTTTGTTTGTTTTAATGTATAAACTACCTTTATTGGATCTGGTACCCTGACTTCATTTGTTTGTTTCAATGCTTTCAAACTTGCAACTTCTCCCTCAAACATGAGCCGTGCCTGTGATAACAAAAAATACAAAGGAGTTGTAACGGGTTTAAACAATAAAATTACTATTCATATTAGAGCGATAATACACATGCGCAACATAGTATGCATGCATCGATACGGTTTTGTCTAATCACAGAGATTTATCTATTATAGTAGTATTTACAGGTTGTATCGATGAATTTTATATTGCGATGTTTTCAAGTGTATACACATGGACTAAAACAACAAAAAGCAAGCCTCCTCGCACACGAATTCAGATTTGAAAATATGCCATGTCTTAATTAATTAATTAGTTACCTTATACAACTATAACAGAACCAAACAAACATCGACATAATGGGAAATCGGCGGCGATATCATAGCAGTTCATCTCACTAGTCAACTGCCTTATGTAGTATTCAGTTGTCATATGAATCAGTTGTCATAGGAATCAGTTGTCTTAGAATTGTATATTTCTGAACCAAATGTAACAGCAGTAAATGTGTCAATATATTGTTTCAACAGTATTCACCTAACTATTAAAGAGAAATTCAACGTGATGTTGTGCTTTCTACAGTGCCTAAACAACACTTGATCAAACCTTCAGACAAGCCTTGCTGCTGTATCTGAAGTTTGGATGCAATATACACCTGTAAAAGATACTAGACCTATCAAACTAGACAAACACTATTAGCAAATGTAGGTTAACTCAAATATAATAAAAGCAAATAAGGTCAACTCATTCACCCATGAACACACATTTGAAATCTTTCAATTCAAAGGTTGGAATACTTCACTATGAAGTGTCAGGGGTGAATGAGTTAGGCGATGCGTGTCTTGAGAATCAGGCGTTTGTTTCCATGTTAAAAACGACTTTATAGACAGTTATGTTGATTGTTAAAATATTCGTTTAATTAATGAAGAATATGTTTTAATGAATTTGGACCTTGTAACCTGGACCATGACACACAGCGCTGAAATCAAAGGCTACGCCCTAGTGCAGATCAGGTGACTGTGAGATAGTATTGCATGTTTACCTACCCCTGGTTTTCTGTTTACTTTCACAAATATTCTGTTTTCGCCATCTGTTTGAAACACTTTCCCTTCGTTAATGTATCCATTTCGATTCTCAATAAATGTCATGCTGTTTAAATCGAGTCTATTTTCTAATAGATCTACCAGTTCCTTATCCTCCATTTTTCTGTCTACAAATGCACATGCTTAACATATACCAGAACTGTTGAATTTCTTTGAATTAAATTCTGTTAGTATCGGTTTCGATCCTGCAAGCTATAAATAACGCATACATGTATTTACTTGTAGATATAGATTTGTTGTCTATAATACGTTTGCCTAGCATATCTTCGATCTTTTCCCCATACGCACGGCATGCACCAATGCTTCGATGACTTATTGATTACCTGTAGCTTCGGCTGTTCAAAAGATGTTTTCTGGGTGAAAGGTCAGGCTATTCGTGTGCTCATGTATTCCTAATGTATACTTTAAAATATGAAACCCATTAGCTTACATCGTGAGAGGAACGAAATTTATGATAAACTTGTTTACATCGTTCACACCAGGTATACGAATTTTCAAAACATTCACAAGACCGGTGAATGTACATATAGTAATCCAGGTATTCATCGCGACAGAATGTGTGCAGCACAGTAGGCATCCATTGCTACGATATGACGTAATCACACATAAGGCTTACAATGTCGTATTGATTGTTTTAAGTATATACACATGGATCAAATCAATAAACCGGAAGCCTCCTTGCACACGAATCTAAGTTTGGTTTAGAATATAGCAATACGTTAAGGCAGGTAAAGGATCAATCAATTAAAATCAGATCTCTCATTACGCTACGTTAGAGATATTATTTTAATTAGATTGGCAAAGGATACCACTTTACCAGAAAAGATTTCCTCCTCTGATGGCTTTTGTGACTTGGGAGTATTCCTCCTTACCAGGTTACCTATGTACAGAAGATACATACACACAAAAGTTATTTTCTGGGTTAGAGTTACAATGTATTTCCTTATTCAATGTATTTATCGCCCATATTGATACTATACATGCATGCATGCATCCACCCACCCACCCACCCACCCAGACACACACATACATACATACATACGTACGTACGTCCTGGATATACGCTGTAGCAGCAATCGTTAAGTGCATAATTTGAAGTCCAAATTTTGTTAAAAACTCAAATTTATAATAGCTACTCAGTATAATTCTACAGAATGTATTGGAAGGTGTGATTATGTTGGGTGGACCACTTACAGATGTATGTGGACAGCCGTGTAGCTTGATTTTGTCAGAATTTCCGACACAAAAACAGCTTTGTTATAAACAATCTAAAACATAAAGAAATTCGGTATCCAATATCAAATCGTAGATTCCGAATACGCATTACCGATTGCTGGTAGTTGCTATAAAACTCTATGGTTTATAATAACGGACTAAAACCGTACAAGTATTTAATCACCATATCTGAGATGCCATATTGAATATTAGCTACAAAGTACATCACCCGGATATGCAGAGAAAGTGTTTTTCTTCCGCCCACACAACTCCAACAACCCAGGTGGAGAATACATTGGTCTGGGGTGGATGTTGCGGTACCTGTGCTGTAGTATTCAAGTGAGGTGAAACTATAAATGAAGTCGTTGGAAGCCTGGTTCCACTACAAACGGAACACATTTCATCTCCAGCACATACGCAGGAATACACACATAGGGAGAAATTAGCCAGGTGGCATAGGACTAGTAGTTAGCGCCTGATAAAGCAGCTCCTGCGAATTCCTCAAAATTGTACTGATATATGTATATGCTAATTGTATTAATTGTATATTTATGTACTGTAAAGCGCTTTAGAGTGGCCTATATGGCAAGCCAAGTTGTCATTTATTCATGGAGCAATGTTGATCCAGTACTTAACCAAATTATATAAGATATCTCATATATTATATAAGATATCTTATATATTATATAAGATATCTTATAAACATATGAGATATCTTATAAACATATAAGATATCTTATAAACATATAAGATATCTTATAAACATATAAGATATCTTATTTTAAGTTTATGAGATATCTTATATCTTTTATAAGATATCTTATATAATATATAAGATATCTTATATCTTTTATAAGATATCTCAATTAATTTTCTTTATAAGATATCTTATATATTATATAAGATATCTCATAAAAGATATAAGATATCTTATAAAGAAAAGTTTATGAGATATCTTATAAAGAACGAGACTCTCGCGAGACCGACAAAGAAGAAATGTTTGAAAATGACTGCTCCCGTTGTACTTAGATCACGAGTCCGATAAACGGGAGCTGTGTAAAACTAGCTTATTTTTCAACAGGAAGTATAACTAACACCAATATAGAATTTTAGTTGATATATTCAAATATTAATTATTATATTTACGCATACATTTTAAAATATTAGTGTTAGGAATCACACATTAATATATTCTAAAATGGCTGGAATAATCCAGAGTTATAAACTTTTCCGAAAGAAACTCGAGTGTTCTAAAGAGCCATTGAGAACTTAGAAAATGTCTGTGAAGTTGCTACATGTTTATTTATTCAAATGACAATTTAGTTTCGTTGGCCTAAAATCCAAAGGTTTAGATATAGTTCTTATTAGTGAGAATCACTGTCATTTATTAATCTGTTGTACGTCATTTTCAACCAGAATGAGACAAATGAAAGTAGTTTGCTGAGGATTTATATTGTGAAGGTGTAATGATGCCAAACTCGGTAAGAGCGCAGAAATATTGTCATAATCAGTCACCACATACTCAAATATAAAGTGAGATTTTAAAATTCATCTTGATTTATGTTATTTTTCGTACACAGCCTCGTTGAAGAATTCTAGTTTGGTTTGATTTGGGGAGGGGGGAGGGGTTTGGTTTATATTATTAATGAGGTCTTGTCTTATAGTTGATGTCAGAAAGCTAAGCTGAGTTAGTTGATTCAACATTTATCATTCACATCACTTGTCTTCTTTGTTGTAAGCAAAATTTATTGATTTCTGCTGATTTTCCTGTGTTATAAATTCATGGTTTAAAGTTTGTGTTCATGTATTTTGTGAGTTAACAGGTAAAGGACATGTACATCTGTTCAGTGTTCTTCCAAACCAATCAAATTAGTTAACCTACCCTCAGTGAGTCGCCCACCCCAAGTAGCTTGTTTAGATTTTGTCCCATTTTTCAAAGACTGTCCTATATGTTAATTTAGACCTGGTGGTATAGAATCTTGCAATCTACCAGATATAAGCAAATCTAAAATACACGAAGAATATTTATAATGAAATACAATTTATTATACCCAGGACATTAACTGCTTATTTTTACATTTGATCTAACTTGACCTCTCTAGGTTAATTTTAAGTCCAAGAAAAAATTCATAATAAAATATATTTATACTATATATGTGTACATATCACTATAGCAAGGTTATTTTATTATATTAAATTAATCTCATCATCTTTATTTATGAAAAGTGACTGGCACTAGATCATAAACTTAGGGAACTTAGATATAATTTCAAAAATGAAGAATGTCTTGTATTTCAGTTCCTTTTCCAAATTAATTTTATCACTCAGGGGAGCATATGGTACAAATAGGACTTTTCCCCCAAAGTTTGAAGCAGATTCCAAGAGAAATATTCAGTTTACTGATACATGTGCTTAACATTTGGGTTCAAGACTCAAAAACTTGTGGATAAGTATTGTATAACTCTTTTTAATAATAACATCTAGGATAGATATTTCAGCCCAAAAACATTTTTTTTTTTGATACAGAACAAATTCTGTTTGAGAATCAACTGTTTTGAACAGTTTTTTTTTTAAATATATAGCACCGACACTCAATCCATATTGATATGAAATATTTGAAATTTGAATATTTCTATAGTGCATAATTCCATAACCTTAAGTCTATAGGGACATGTCAAATACTACCAGGTACTCGTTTATATATACAATGGAAGATATTATATATAATGAATGGGCATCACAGTATATATATATATTTTGCAGCACACTTAATAAGCATGTGACATGTCCCTGTAACCCACATCTAATTATAGGTAAGTAGTGGGATTATTAGTGGAAGCCAATATCAACACATCCAACTAATACAGTACTTTAAAACAAGAGCCCCATGGGCCTAACAGGTCACCTGAGTTGTAATGCAATTGTTATTTGTTGTTGTGATATGTCAAAAATAAAAATTACATATATATATATGTATAGCAGGGAATTTTGCCCCTCACCAGGGAGGAATTAGTACCCAAGGGGTTGTGAAATTCACATTTTGATTAAGCACATCAGGATATTTCCATCCATGAGAAGGTTTTTTAACATATCTGGATCTGGAAGTAGACAATTATTGTTTGAGCTATTTTGGCCCCTTTTGGCTCCGCCCCTCAGGCCCTTAGCGTCCACATGATCACATCATGTAAATGTATCCCCTCCCCAAGAGTAAAAGGGCGACAATTGAAAAAAAAAACCTTAAGATATACACCTCATATACATCAGATATACACCTTCTAAACATCAGGTATATACCTTCTATACATCATGTATACACCTCCTATAGGTCAGGTATACACCTTCCATGCATCAGGTATATATACCTTCTATACATCATGTATACACCTCCTATAGGTCAGGTATACACCTTCCATGCATCAGGTATATATACCTTCTATACATCAGGTATACACCTCCTATAGGTCAGGTATATATATACACCTTCCATGCATCAGGTATATATATACCTTCTATACATCAGATTACACCTATACATCAAGTACATCTTGTATGCATGCACATATACATGAGGTATATGTAAGGTCCATATTCTCTGTAGGTAAGGTACCTCATCTTTATAATAGTTGTCTGATATTGGTTCATATTGATTGCATGCACAGGAAATATAACATGTTTGCTTGTGCTGGAGTTTCCCATTTATGTTCCCTTATTGTGGCCTCTCAAGAACAAGAAGCACAGGCACATTATTAATAGCTCACCTGGAATAATATTTTTCATTAAAAGTTGTTGATTACCTCTTACCATACAGGAAATATCAGCTTGGGGATCTCAACAATTTCCATGTTATGACTGAAGGAGTAAGTCCTCAGGGATGGGGTGGGCTCCATTAGGGACTATCTTGGTATCATGAGTGTTTTTCCTCTGCATGCCCAGCAGCATTTGGATGGGATCTTTACTGATTTCATGTAAAATTTGGGGACTATAAGCCCCTTGTGGCAGGGCAGGACCCTGGCGCCAATCATGTAAGCATGGATGTATTCAGATGGTTACATGGTGGGGGATCTTAATTATC